TGGGCTGACCTGTCACAGGCTCACCCCTCACAGGCCTATCTTTCACAGGCCCACCCCTCACAGGCTCACCCCTCACAGGCCCACCCCTCACAGGCTCACCCCTCTCCAGGCCCACCTCTCACAGGCCCACCCCTCCCCGGGCTCACCTCTCACAGGCCCACCCCTCACAGGCCCACCCCTCACAGGCTCACTCCTCCCTGGGCTGACCTGTCACAGGCTCACCCCTTCCTGGGTGCACCTTGCCCACCCCGCTCTTCAGGGAGCTGAGGCTGCAGGGTGTGATGGGAACACCACCCACACCCCACCTGCAAGGTCCTGGCGGCACTCCCTGGGGGACAGTGCGGCCCTGCCTGGGTGCCCACTGCACCGGAGAGCAGGCAAGGGCGTGCTGTAGGGAACGAGCTTCAGCAGCCTGCAGGCCAGTGTGACTTCATGCACACACGCACGCACGCACGCATGCACGCATGCACTCACCAGTGTTCATCCCGTGCCAGGCCTGTGTTAGGCTGTAGAGGCAGAAGTGAACATGCTGTGCACAGACTCTGCTGTCGTGGAGCCAGAGTGTCTACATGGGGAGTGGACCCCAAATAAACCGCAAACCAAAAACACCTAACCTGTTGCTGGGGAGTCAGTTCCAATTCATGACGACCCCATGTGACAGAGCAGGACTGCTCTACGGGGTTTTCAGGGCTGTGACCTTTTGGCAGCAGATCGCCAGGCCTGCCTTTCATGGCATCGCTGGCTGGGTTCAAGCCACCAACCTTCATGTGAGCTGTCAGATGTAAACAGTTCGTTCCCAGAACTTTAAACAAACCCAGGAGACGGTAATTATGGATTCTGTTCAATGCTAGCAAGGAAATAGGGGGATGGAGGGTAGGGTGTGGGGGCTGTGTGTGTACACAGTTTGGGTTCGGGGAAGACTTCTTGGAGGTGGCAGCATTTAGGTGCTGAGGCAGGAAGTGGCCAGAGGGCGGGTGGGCGGAAGGGTGTCAGCAGGAGGTGGAGGGGCTGACGGGTCCCCTGCACAGGGCCCGGGACGAGGCGCAGGGGTGGGGTTGGTGCTGAGCTTTCATCAAGCCTCATGAGGACTCGGGAAGATGCTAGAAGGGATGCGTCTTTTCGGGTTCCCTCGGGTCACTGCATGGAGACTCGTCTTGGGGGACCCACCGGGAGCAGGGAGACCAGCAAGGAGATACTGGCCGCATTGAGGGCTCCTGGTGGAGCTTTCCCCAGCCAAGGCCAGGGATGCCCAGAAGTGGGGTCCTTGGCTCAGTGGGGGCCGCCCTGCACCCCCAGGCGCCCGGCTAGGGGCTCAGCCTGTGCTTGCTGAAGGTTGGACAGGGGGCTCTGCCCCTGCGGGCTGCAGTTGTCTGTTCCTTTGCCCTTGCTGACCCATGTCCTTTCTCCTGGAGCTCCGCTCTCTGCCCATCAGTCCTGTCGTTGGAGGTGGTGGTTCCTGCCTGCCTCCCACCCTCCTGCTCTGCCTGCCACGGTGCCTCCCCGGCGTCAGCGCGCCAGCACACTTATGCAACCCGTGATAAGGGGTGGCCGGGCCATAATCCTCTAAACGCCTGGCTCAGCGCCCCCTGCCCTGACGTGCCTGCTGGGAGCCCAGCTGGTGGCTGGGCGGGGGTGGTGGGGCTCTGAGTGAGGGACACCCAGGCCTCTGACCTGCCGCTGGTCAGTGGTGGCCAGCGCCCCCAGGCCGGGACTGAGAGGGAGAACACAGCTGCTTGGTGACCCGGGGGCCCATTGGCCCTTGTCCTCTCCCTGGAGCCCTGGATGGGGAAGCATCTCCAGGACCCAGGGCGCAGTCTTGCGCTTGGCCCCTAGCTCCAGGAGCCCACCTGAGTCCATCTGCCTGAGAGCCTGGGGACCTGGTGCTCATTCAGGCTGCCCTGCCCCGAAATCCAAGAGATGGCTTTCTGGGGAAGATTTATTTTTTCTTTCTACCTACCTACCTACCTATCTACCTCTCTACCTGTCTGTCTCTTTGTCTGTCTACCTGTCTACCTACCTCACCTACCTTACCTACCTACCTAGCTTACCTACCTACCTACCTTACCTACCTTATCTACCTACTTACCTAGCTTACCTACCTACCTACCTTACCTACCTTATCTACCTACCTACCTACCTACCTTACCTACCTGCCTATCTATCATCAATCATCTGCTTACCTTCTATCACTCTAATCTTTATATATTTTAAGCTTTTTAAAAAACTGAGTATGATTCACATACATTAAAGTTCACTCTTTTTGGTGAACGGTTCTACAGGCTTAGACAAAGGCACTCAGTCATGTCACTACCACCGCAATCAAGACACGGAACAATCCCACCACTCCAGAAGGCCCCTCAGCCCCGGCCCCCGGCATCCACCGAGCCACTTTCTGTCCCCGTAGGTGTGCTTATTCCAGAACGTGGTGCAAATGGAATCACCCAGTATGGAGCCTTCTGACACTCATCCTCACCACCCTGGGCCTTTTTACTGCTGAGTAGATTCCACGACAGACAGACCACAGTTTGCTCATCCTCTGCCCACCGCTGGAGGGCATTTGAGTTGTTTCCAGCATTAATGATTATGAACGAAGTCGCTGCAAACGTTCATGCATACGATTTTTGGTAAACAGAAGCTGTCACTTCTCTTGCGTAAATACCTAGGAGCGTGACCCTTCAATTGTATGGCGATTGAATGATTGATTTTATGAGAACCTGCCAAACTGTTTTCCAAAGCGTTATACCCGTTTGTACCCCCTGCCCCCAGAGTGTATGAGAGCTCCAGTTGCTCCACATCCTCGCCAGCACTCGGTGTTGTCTGTGTTTGTTGAACAAAGTTTAGCCTTTCTACAGGTGTGTAGCTGTGTCAGGGGCTCTAGTGGCACGGTGGTTAAGTGCTCGGCTGCTGACTGAAAGGTTGGTGATTCGAACCCATCTGGCAGCTCTGCAGGAGAAAGACCTGGTGATCTTCTTCCTTCAAGATTACAGCCTTGGAAACCCTATGGGGCAGCTCTACTCTGTCCCATGGGGTTGCTATCAGTCAGAACCCACTCGATGGCAACTGGTTTTTGTGCGGAGCTGTGTCTCCTCACGGTTTTAATGCGCGCTCCCCTAACACTAACAATGCCGGGCGTCTTTCCATGCGTTGGTTTTCCGGCTGACCTCGTCTTTGGAAGTGTCTTTCAAAACTTCTTGCCCATTATTTTACTAGGGAGTTTGTTTCTTATTACTGAGTCTTGAGAACTGTTTACAGATTCTGGATGCAAGTCCATTGTCAGATGTACATGTTGTAAAATTCACCTGGGCAGGCGCCTCCTGTTCTCTAACCAGTGACTCTGGGCACTTGGCGGGGACCGGGGTGGCGGCAGGCAGATGGAGGCAGCAGACACCTCCCCTCCTCCCCCTCCGGTCGGGGGGCTGAGGACCGTGACCCAGGACCCGGTCTACCCTGGAGGACTGGCTGAGGGGCTGGTGTGGTGCTGCCCTCCCGGGGGGGTGACCCCACCCCTGAACAGGTGCCCAACAGGGCTCTCTTCCCTCAGCGCCCCTGGACTCTGTGGGTGCCAAGACGAAGGGCCGCCCCCCACCTCCCGCTGTCCCAGCCACGGCGCCTCCCTGGCGTCAGCTCAGCAGTACATTTATGTAACCGGTGATGAGGGGTGACCAGGCTATGATCCCCCAAGTGCCTGGCTCAGCACCCCCTGCCCTGGATGTGCCTGCTGGGAGCCCAGCGGGTGGCTCGGCGGAGGCGGTAGGGCCCTGAGTGAGGGGTGCCCAGGCCTCTGACCTGCCCCTGGTCAGTGGTGACCAGCGCCCCCAGGCCAGGGATGAGAGGGAGTGAGGACACAGCTGCTCGGTGACTCCGGGGGCCTGCTGACCGAAGCAAGCCGGAGCCTGGCTGCGTCCTAGCGGCTTCCCCCAGGGCCCTGGGCCCCCAGCCCCAGCCAGGCCCTGAGGGTGGGTGGAGGTGCTTAGGGTTTGAGTCCCAGCAGGCCGTGGAGGGCTCTGCTATTGCTCACAGCAAGCCCTGCCTGACCCCCATGGTCAGTGAGGCGCCTCGTGTGCCTGGGGGCCACACCCTCAGCCAGGGCGTCAGGCGCGTGCCTGGCTGGCTGGAGTCCCGCCAGCAATGACCCAGGGGCCGATGGGGAACAAGGAGCGATTGTGCCAGACAGCGGACAAAGGGGAGCTGGGGCTCCCGCCCCCTGGCACAACCCGCTCCTCCGGTGAGCTGGCGGGTGGGCTTGGCTATAAAGCCAGCTGCTGGGCTGGGGCTGGGGGCAGGCATGGGGATGAAGTCCACCCCGGTCCTGCTGGGCCCCGTCCTGGCGCTGCTCTGGCTGGCTGAAGCTCGGGCCGAGGTTCTGGTGCAGCCGGACTTCGATGCCAAGAAGGTATTGGAGGCCCCCTGCTGTGCTGCAGGGGGTGGGGGGTGAGCTGAGCCCCTGCTGGAAATAACAACGATGGTGGTGGTAATAGTAACAGCTGCTTTGTGCTCTGCGCTAGATGCTGGGCGAGCAAACACTTCGAGCAAACACTTCGGATCCCTTCTCCACTTAGTCCTCAAACAGCCCTGGGTGTGCATGTAGGGTCCTCAGCGGGCCCCCTGCATAACGGGGGAAACCGACTCTCAGCCGCGACATCACCCCACAAAGCCAGTGGCAGGAGGGGGGGTCTGTCCACCTGGGTTCAGACCCTGCAGGTGGAGGCTCCGGAGGCCCCTTGCTGTGTGGTGTCAGACAGTCCTGGCTCCTCTGGGCCCTGGTTTTTGTCCCTCCCTGGGTCCCCCTGGCAGGAAAGGGCCAGCCTGCCGGGCGGGGCCCGCCTGTCACTGAGCCTGCCCAGTTCTCAGGCCTCTGGTATGTGATGGCCATGGGGTCCGACTGCAAGGTCTTCCTGGGCAAGAAGGACCACCTGCTGATGTCCACCAGGGCCATCGAGGCCACTGAGGAGGACGGCCTCCACGTCCACGTGGAGTTTCCTCGGCGAGGCCAGGCCTGGGCAGGGGAGGGGCTAGGGGCCGGAGGGGCTGAGGGCGAAGGCCTGAGAGTGAGGGCCGGCTGTGGACTCCAGGGCCAACGGCTGTAACCAGGTGGATGCCGAGTACCTGAGAGTGGGCTCCGCCGGGCACTTCAGAGTCCCGGGTAGGTCCGCCCCACCCCCTGCAGGGCCGCTTCCCAAGGGGAGCCCTGGGATGGTCCTTCTGCCCCCGGAAGATCCCCGCGTCCCGCCATCACCTTCCTCCAGCCCCTTGGCTCCTCCCTCTGCGCCCCTCCCAGCCTACCCGCCCAGGGCCCATGGGGGAGGGGTCGGTGTCGGGGGCTCCACAGCCAGCTGCCTCCTCCGCAGCCTTGGGTTACCTGGACGTGCGCATCACGGACGCAGACTACGGCTCCTTCGCGGTGGTCTACATCTACAAGGAGCTGGAGGGAGCGCTCAGCACCATGGTGCAGCTCTACAGTGAGGGCGCCCCGCCCCGCCCACCACCGGGGCCCCCTCTAGGCCCCGCCCCTTCACCCTGCTCACCCCTCTTTTCAAAACCAAACCCCCCGCGGTGGTGTCATACTGACTCATAGCGACCCCTCAGGACAGAATAGAACTACCCCCTAGGGTTTCCAAGAAGCAGCTGGTGGATTCCAATTGCCAGTCTTTTGGTTAGCAGCCGAGCGCTTAAACCACTGCACCACCAGTGCTCCCAGGAAGGATTTAAAAAAAAAAAAAAAAAACCCGTTGTCATCGAGTCAATTCTGACATAGTGATTCTATAGGACAGAGTAGAACTGCCCCACAGGGTTTCCAAGGAGCACCTGGTGGATTTGAACTGCCAACCTTCTGGTCAGCAGCCAAGCTCTTAACCATTACACCACCAGGGTTTACAGCCTCAGAAATCCTGTGGGGCAGTTCGACTCTGTCCTGTAGTGTTGCTATGAGTCAGAACCGATTTGACAGCACCTAACAACTTTAGGCCCTGCCCCTCCCTACCTTTGGCCTCCCCTCCCCCTGACTCCTCCCCCTTTCCCCCAGCCCCTTCCCCTCCC